TCAAACTGTAAAACTTGATAAATGTTTCAGTATGTTTTAACATTACTTAATTTGAATTTTATGTTTATGTTGGGTAATTTCATACACTTTTGCTCATGTTTGCTTACAACAAAATGTACTGTAACGCTTTCTCACCACTACCTCAGTTGCAAAGACTGCCAAGGTTTCCGTGTCAAACACGCTGGAAGGGGCGCTACTAACACTACTAAAAGGATTAAGTTTGGCAATAATAAATAGAGATTTTAATGATGGTTTATGAAAATATTCTTTGGATCATCAGATTGAATTTTTTCAGAAAATAGTGACAAATACTCAAAAATTGTAGAACTATTTACAAAGTTCTGAGTGATAAAAAAATATTTAATCAGATCAGTTAACTATCCTAATTAAACACATTATTTGGGATAGAATTTTTTCAGTGCATCATTGGCAAATTTTTGAATCAAAACGTTGCAAATTAACATTAGTCTTTAAGTACTTCAACATGTCATGTTGTTGAATGCTTGTTCTATAAAATTTGAGTTAAAAGAAATTTATTGTATAATGAAGGAAGTTGTAAACATTTAAAAAGATTCCATTATTGGATTAGCTGCTAAACAACTTGCATCAAAATTAGATAGTTTTGATTGTGGTGTACAACACCACATATGAATTCAAAACTGTCTAATTTTGACACAATGAATTAGTATGGCACAATGTATTAACTGAAATTAACTGTACTAACAAACTATTACAATCTCAAACTGCAAAAGTGAAGACTGCTGCAAATGCATTAAAGGAAACAATGGACTTTTTAGTTACTAAACACACTGATGATTTTTACAAAATATTTTGAAAACCAAAGTTCTAGCAAAAATAATGCATATTTGACTAACAAATTTTGTTCTCTTTCATGCGAAAGAGCACGAAAATGAGAAAGATTTATTTCTGACCAACTTTAAAAAAAAAATGGTGATGCACAACCAAACCAAATATGCATTAAGGAGATTTTTGATGACCTCTTCAAAATAGCTAAAGAATTGCTAAGTAAAAGATTTTTAAAAAATTAAATAGTTTGAAACACCACTAGTTTACTTGTTCATCAGCTTCTCAAAACTGAAAAATTTATGAGGTAAAAAAAAAAAAAAAAATTGTCAAGAACTTCCAGGTTATCTTGACAATATTCCAGGTCTGAGGCAAACTCTAAAAAACTTGTGATTTTTAGTGGATTTTTTTACGTCTAGAAAGCTAGAAGTTAAACACTAAAAGCCATACTTGAGTCACATTCATTTTTGGGGCCCTTCTTAATACTGTAGCTATTGATAAAACATTGATTTTAGTCCTGATCTGACAGATTTGACCCTGAATTTCTATTTTATTTAAAATGGGAGATGCTAAGCTGCTTTCTTAGTTTAAGACAACTAAAAACAAGCACGAGAGAGTGATGGGGTAAGGAGCAAATATAAGCACAGGTGAACAGTGGTCCAAATGGTAGACAAAAAGAAAAAATCTATTGTTTGGAAATTAAAATATTTCACAGTTTTTCAAAACTAGAATGAAATACTAGTTAAATGCAAAATACAAGAGGTCATTATCATTAATGATTTAGAAATAACAACCATTCAAAGTTTTAAAAAACTTAAAAAAAAAGCTGTTTATAATGCATAGTTTGATTGTTCCCATACATTTTCTAATTTGAAATATATGCACCAAATTTATAGTTGAAAGTGACAAAAAAAAGTTTATTTAAAAAAGTTAAAGTAAAAAAATTAAATTTATTTATTTCAACATTTAAAAAATTTTTTCAGATAAAGTTTTCTTTTTTCTTTTCAAAAAACTAAATAAAAAAAGTCTGTTTTATGCAACCAGAGTCTTTTAAAACAATTTTATAAGATCTGCAAGTGATTTGTTTTTCTTGATAATTTTTTCTCTGAATATTCTCAGTTGCTTGTTGTTTGCGTCCATTCCTTCCTCACGCCATGCTTTAGAGCCTGTGTTGTTGATTAACTCAATTAGTTCTAAAGTATGTCCCTTAGCTTATGAATAGTTGGTGTCAAACTAACCCAGGGCATTTCTTGTAGAAGAAGAATGTTTGTCTCCTTACATGTCTCTATATTTCTTTATGTTAATTTCCTGAATAGATGACATAGCACAAATAATAGTAGACAAGAGACCATACCACTCAGCTAATATTTGGTCATGTTGATTTGAAATGTAGTCAGTAATCACTGTTCTATTTTTCTCATTGTAAAGAAGACCTCTAGATGCATTGCATGTTGTAGTATTACCCAATTGATCTGATGAATTTAAAAAATTGATTTAAAAAGAAATCACTTGATTCCTGTTCTATTGCTAATTATATTTTTCTTCTCTACTTCAAGAAAGTGGGCACTACTGGCTGTCAAAGACTCTATCCATGCATGGACTTCTGCAGCAATGTGAACCAGTACTTTCATGAATTAATCAAATCCAGGGAGTAATGCATGGAGTACTTGTACAGACCTTACATTAAATGTTTGCTACGGCAAACATCATAATCCTTTAACTTTTTAGTTAAAGAACCATCTTCTTAAACTAAATCTAAAAATATCTTCTCCGTCGTTTCAATGTCTCTATTTATAATAAATCCCTGTTCAACTGTATGTATATCTTCACATTGTGCCTTAAATATATCACAAAGATCACACTAGGCACATATTAGATCACACTGATATATATTTGAAGCTTTTCTGTTCAAACTGTCATCAACAATGTTCAATTTAATATTCAAATAATGTCCATTGAAGATAATAATAATATTACTTTCCTCTTACATTGTTTTGATATCTGTATTAAAAAATGTTAAAGACTGCATTCTCATGGGATTCTTTTCATATCCTGCATCATCAGAGGCCTTTGTAAAATTCTGACTTTAAGGACTTTTGTTTCCATATTAAGTTATTTCCATCAGCATTAGAGTTGAAAAGCTTTAGAGGGCAAAAAATTGACTTGCTTATATTATTGGTATTTACATTATGTAGCTAGTTATGCCTTTTATGTCCTCCACTGCCATCATAACCAAATTTGATTTCAAGGATTAAATTTTTCATTTCAGATGTGATATAGGCAAGCTTATGAATTATTGAGTTTGGTAGACTCAGTAAAGGTAGAGTAAAAATATATGGTTCAGATAGGGGGATGGTTTTCAGATGTGGTAGAATTTTTGAAGTCTTGGATGTTTACCCAAGCTGTAAAGAACTTCTTTACAGCTCGGGTAAATATCCATATTGTTAGTTTTTAGCGTTTTCTTCAGCTTTCTGTATGCTAATCGACTTAGCAGTGAATCACAGCAAATTGCAACAGCTGTCACAGTTGTTATATGGGTAATTTTGACACAGCTAGAGGATGAACATCTAGATAATATTCAGATTCAAATTTATTTACATTTTTCCATAGTTCTTTCGTTTTTAAATGATGATAATCCTGTGTAGAAAATGTTAACAATTTTTGTATTAAATTTTATGATTTTTATTCTAGAAAATCATTAATACACAATTAAGTGTATCATTATATACAAAATTAATTTATTATTTAGTTAAAATTTGAAATTTGTACTACCTCTACTTTTTCAAGCTTTATGAGAGGTTCTTTGTCAATCTTGATACATTTTGCAACAAACATCAACTTTTTGAGGTTGTTAAACTGCCTAAATGTATTTGTTAAAATTTACTTTGAATGTTCATCAAGGTCATTAATATTTTTCAATCTTTTAAACACTGTAAAGTTTGTACCAATTTAACACTGTGATCCAATATTATTTTAAAAAGTTCTTGTTCTGTGTAGAGAATCATCTTGAAAAGTGAAATGTTCAGTAACAAACTAAAATTTTATTACTAAAAAGTTTTCTCAAATGTCTTTAGTGTTCAAGGTTTATTCTGAAATGTATAGCTGCAAAATTTACAAAAATACTAAATTTATTAAAAAATAGTAAGATTAATAGCGAAAAGAAGTAAAGAAAGTAAATAAAAAAAAGTAAGGTTAATAGTGAAAAGAAGTAAAGAAAGTAAGTTAAAAAAAGTAAGGTTAATAGTGAAAAGAAGTAAAGAAAGTAAGTTAAAAAAAGTAAGGTTAATAGTGAAAAGAAGTAAAGAAAGTAAATAAAAAAAAGTAAGGTTAATAGTGAAAAGAAGTAAAGAAAGTAAATAAAAAAAAAGGTTAATAGTGAAAAGAAGTAAAGAAAGTAAATAAAAAAAAAAGGTTAATAGTGAAATAAAGAAAAATAGTAAGAAAAATTAAAATTGATGCTAAATTTTATTTAAATGCTCATATTTATTTTTCTGTTTTTTAAAATAAATACGAATATTTTGTTATGTTGCCTGAAAAAAAAAATTTAATATATATAAAATGTGAATATTGGTAGATAGTAACTTGCTGGAATATTTCCCGACCCCAAAGACACTTGTTTTGATGAATAATATTTCCATATAAATATAGATAAAGTTTTGCTAATTTTTAGCATGTTCTGGCCCACTTTACCTTTTTTTTTTTATTAGTTTTTTTTTGTTAAGTGTAAGTATTGGCAACTTAAAAATACTTTTTGTTTACTTTAAACCCCAAAAAATTCCAACAAGTTGGATTGTTTCATAATCCAATTGCATGTGGCAGGTTTTAGAAATGGTTTGATAAAGAACTGATAAAGAAATATGTTTAGCATATTTTAATGCACTTTAATTATAAAACTAAATTAGTCAATAGCAATTCACTGCTAGACACTGATTTAAAATATTTAAATTTTTAACAGATATGTTTAACAAAAATGTTATTGTATCTTATAATTTTTTATATATAGTTTGTAAATTATTTTAAATAACAATTTTATGTTGATCTTGTTTTGAAGATTAAACTTTTTGTTTAGTTCTTTCATTATTGTTTTGAACATAAGTGTTATTTTATAAGAAATCTTGATGTACTCAATATAATTAAAGTTAACCAAAGCTAAAAAGTTATTTTTGTTTACTGTTTATAACTTATTGCATTTTAAGCCTTTAGAAGTTCGCGAAAGTTCTCCTGCTAATGCTAAAAAGGTTAACAAACTTGGAATTTCATCAACAAAGTTACAATCTGAAGAAACGGTATTTGGATTATGTATAACAATCGTGATTGCATTGTTCAATTTATGATTTTTAAAAAGTTTTATACTATAAATATTTTGTATGACAAAAGTTTTTGTTTTGCTAGGGTGCTCCGTTTATAAGAAAGGCGACTGCATTAGAATGGGGAAGGTATTTTTAAAAATTTTAAGTTGCAAATTTATAAAGTTAGTTACCTTTTTTTTATTTTAATGACCTTAATTTCAAATTTGAAATTAAGGTCATTAAGGAAATTCAAAGTTTTATTCTAAATTTAAAAATTTTAAAATGAATAATTTTTTATAAAGATATTTAATATTTATTTAAAGATATATTTATATTTTTTCAAGAATAATTGCAAGAGATATTGGTGGTTCAGACCCAGAGCGAATGTGTCCTTTAAAAGTTGAAGAATTTGTTCGTGAAGTTTTTAAAAATACCAGTATTTCGGTACACTTTTTAAAATTACTCCAATATCACGGTACACTTTTTTAAAAATACACCTATATTATAGTACACTTTAAATTGCATCGGTTTTATGGTACACTTCCTAAAATTAAATTTATTAATATAAATTTAATTTTAGGAAGTGTCTTTTCACTATAAAAAAACATAAGTTACAATAAAATGAATGATATGAGTTACAATAAAATGAATGAATGACTTGAAGGATGACCTTTAAGTTTAAATATTTTTATCATTAATTTCTACATATTTATATATCATAATTTGGTAATGCAAAATCTTGACCTTCAGGGCATACTTAGTTATAACTGGGTTTTATGTAAAATATTTTTAGTAGATTTACTCTAATAATATATCTACAAATATATTAGTAGACATATTCAACTATTTACAAGTTGTATGTATATATGTATGTAGTATGTATGTATATATGTATGTATGTATGTATGTATGTATGTATGTATGTATGTATGTATGTATGTATGTATGTATGTATGTATGTATGTATGTATGTATGTATGTATGTATGTGTGTTTTTACATATAAAAGTATATAAATTAACAGATGCAACTTTGCTGAATGGTAAGTCATGTGAGATTGGATTTTAGTTGATGGAATAAGTGATGATTGTTTTATCAGCAAATGTTAACCAGACATTTTGAAATGTACCCATCTTTGTTGACTGTTTGGTTCGAAAGAGCAATAAAATGTTTCAGACTGCTTTCTCAGACAAAGCTATCCAAATTAATAATTTTGGCTTGTATTTACTTTTTTCTTTGAGTTTTAACTCATTAGGTATTGCGTCTGGATCAGATATATAATAATAGTATATAAGTTTAATTTAATTTAATACCCTGTATATAGTAACCCTGTTTATTTACCCTGCTACTCAGTGTTGCTTAAAGAAAATAATAACTCGTCATCAAGATTCATAATTTTTTTTTTTTGAAAAAGTGTGACTCATTTTTGGCACTTAAAACACACAACTGCTTTTCTGAGTCAATGTTCTTTTTGATGCTTTTTTTAATGATAATTAATGCTAGTCTTTTGTTAATAATTTTGGAAATTTTGGCCTTTTTTTTAATTTTTTTTTAAATTTTTGTTTACAAGGTTAGTTTTGTTTGCAAAAGTTATTTTTGTTTACTTGAAAGCTTTAGAACTTAATTTTGTGTTTTATTTCATGGTTTAAATTGTTGTTTTTGACTAGCCATTTAAGAACAATAATCAATGACATGATTGATTCTTCTTTGTTTTCAGTATGAGGTACAACAAGGTTTTATCTTGGACCTGTGTTGCTTCTCATCTATAAGTTATTTTCCTGATAATGCTTTGTTTAAAGTGATCTTATGTTTAAAATCTTTTTGCTGATGAACTTAAATTGCAGCAAAAAAATTTTTTAATTGTTCAGAAAAAGCTGTCAATTGAGTGACAGCTTGGGGCTTGCAGTGACTTTTAATTCAAGCAAAAATCTAATGATTGTTGCAAATGTTGATATTTTATCGTTTGTTTAATTTCATTACTTTTTAGTCAATTTGTCCCTTTCCCTCACAATGGATTTGTCCTTGTATTAGCCTAATTATTCATGGGAAGGAATGATAAATATTATTAGAGTTGTTATAATTTTTTTTTTACTTTAGCTTACAATTAAGTTTACATTAATTAATGTTTTGATTTTTTTTTTTTCTGGTTTTTCCTTTATTTATTTTATCATTCTTTGAATATTTTATTTTTTTAGGTTAATTTCTGTATTATATATTATTTTAAGGATTTTATTCTCTTTTTAGTTTATAGATTGTTTATTTTAATTTTAATTTGCTTTGTTTTTTTTTAGCGCATTTTTAAAATGCGCTAATTATCAAACTTACAAAGAGCCGTGGTCAATTTGTTAAAACAAAGAACTTTATGTGTGGTCATATAAGGCATGCGATCGCACGCCTCTTACGAGAGGGCCTGCTTTGTAATTTTTACTTCCTCATTTTTTTAATCATACCTTTTTTTGATCCTTTCCCAAATTTTAATCATACCTTTTTTTTGATCCAGAGTGTTTGATTCATTTAACAAACCCATGTCCTGCAATGCTGCATTTACTATTGCTGCTGTTGCCAGACTGCTAACTCTGTAGCGATCTGATGTGGCTGCAAGTCTAGGATAGCGTAATCTATTTTGTTTCATAGCCATTTTGTCACTAGAAAGGAGTTCTTTTTCTGAGCTACTGTTATTATTTTCAAAAATAAATTCTTCAAAAGTGGTTTTAATATTAACGTTGGAAGTTGTCCCAATTATTCCTTGTTCAGGACGCTGTTTTAACTTTTGTTTCTTTTATAAGTTCTTTTCTTTTTTGCTGAAATATTTTTATCAATAAATCCTAATTAGTTCCTTCTCTTCTGCCCAATAAAATTTTCCCATTCTAAAACAGGTATTTTTATGTCGCATTTACAATCTTTGCGGTCAATACCTCTATTGTAGCATGTCTCATGCACATGCTACAACAGAGGTATTGACATCAAACGTTTCTTCAAAGGTTTCATGAAATGTCAAACATTTCATCAAAGGTTTGATGAAATGTCAAACATTTAAGTAAGGTTTAAGACAGTTTCATAAGTGACTTATGGTTGGAAATGAAAATTTGTCCCATATTTGACATAAATCTTCTGAAATTTTTCGACACAATACTGTCAGTGTCTCTCTTGATGCTCCGTTAACGTTCTCCTCTTGTTGCAAAAACATATAATGACGGAACATATCAGCTCTAGTAGGAGTCATGAATTCATTAAATCTTGTTGGCTGTCCAAAAGTAGGATCAGCAGTAACATTCTGTGTTGCCATTTTAAAGTACTTGCATTTTAAAGAACTTGATATGAATCTTTACAAAGAAATAAAATAGGTTAGAAAGGATCATTACATCAATCTGAACTCTGTAAACTTTGTAAAAACTGAAATTTAAATAAACACACTCACACACATAAAAACTTAAAGTAATATATAAAGGAAACGTTTTATAAAATGAAGTTTTGTAAATGAACTTTTTTTAAGATTAATGTTGTGTTTGGTCATGATAATCTACGTGCAGACTTTCCTTTATTTGCAGCTGTTGATCGTTGTGCCAACAGTAAGTTTTTTCTATTTGTCAGTTTATGTTATTATATTTATCAAAGTTATCAAGTTGCTTTATATAAGAAAACTTATAATCAGTGTTAAAAAAATTTAGTAGCATCACTGGGATGTTTTGTGAGTGTTACTTGTGACTGTTAGATTGACATTGTCTAGTCAGTTGTAACTTCTTGCTTCAGTTTTTCCTAATTTATTTTTCAAATAAAAATATATATATATATATATATATATATATATATATATATATATATATATATATATATATATATATATATATATATATATATATAAATTAGAATAGATTTAAAATAAAAAAGAATAAAGGTTTAAAATAAAAAAAATAAAGATTTAAAATAATAAATAATAAAAGGCATTTAAAAGTTGTTTTTAACAACTTTTAAATGCCTTTATTATCTCACAAATTTATTTTTTATTTAATCACATTTATAGTTTTCTGACTTGCTTTATTGTTTTTTTTAATTAGTTTTATTTGACTTTTTATAATTTTAGTGGTGGAGCGACATAGAGGAAGAATAATTTATCTAGAATATTGTGGTGAAGGAGAAGTTGAAAATTCATATTTTTTTGTTGGAAAAGTACATTTTTTTAATTCTTTGTTTGTTAAGAATGTTTCTTATGTTCTTTTTTCAATGCATACTGTTATATTTGTAGGGTGTAACATATGATACTGGTGGTGCTGATGTTAAAGCAGGAGGACATATGGCTGGAATGCACAGGTATTTTTGTATTTTTAATTATTAAGATACACTTACTTTTTTATGATTCTTTTACATCAAACTTTTTTGCTTTTATAGAGATAAATGTGGTGCTGCAACAATTGCTGGCCTATTTGCTGTAATAATTATATTTCTATATATTTGCTGTAATAA